AGCTACAGGTAAACACCTACACTACACCTACACGCAGGGCGACGTCATAGGGAGATCTTAGCCTCTACCAGGCCTTTCTAAAGGGGGTTATAGGATGGTAGGATTCAGCAAAATAGGGTGGGACTGGCCAGGGGGGTGGGTCCAGCATTAGGATGGGGTATTTCAGATGATATGAAACCCTGACGTGGGTTAGGGACCAAGGTACAACACGTGGGTATTTCAAATGATATGATATGTTATGATGTCTGGAACTTCTGTATTGATGGTGCATTAAGGCCACAGTGTATTGGTTGATTAAGGTGTTATCCCAGCAAAAATAGGGTGGGACTGGCCAGGGGGGTGGGTCCAGCATTAGAAGGGGGCATGCATTTCAGATGATATGAAACCCTGACGTGGGTTAAGGGACCAAGGTACGAGGTATTTCAAATAATATGATATGTTGTGATGTCTGGAACTTGTAAATCTATTGATGTTGCATTGATTAAGACCACGGTGTATTGGTTTTAAGGTGTTTTAAGGAAATTCTGCAGATTAGATTTTTTTGTGTGGATTCAGATTGATGAAATCTTCACAAAAACGGCAGCTCTGTTCTGTAATGCTTCAGCCAGATTATCACCGTGTACGTAATTGCGTACAAGAAAGTTTCATAATTTCACCCGGTTACTTCTAGACTCAGTATTCTTGATAAGTGATGAAATTGTGACCAGTAAAAGGTTTAATTCTTTTCCTGATTGCACCTCTCTCTGTGTATGGGTCTAGATAAGATGACAGCGTTGCTAAAACACGGCAGCAGAGCGCAAACAGAAAAATCTTTAAGTTATTTATTTTCCAGGTCCTGTCCGCCATCTTGTATTTTTCTCTTCGCAAGGCAGCCTGGGAATATTCAAACAAATGGAATGGTTGACAGCGTTTTCCTCTTTTAGCCATGGCTGAAAGACTACAACATTATGTTTTTCACCGCTACTTGGCTGTAATTATCTCTATTACAACAAGGAAAAAAGATGCTAAGATCAAATACATCTCCAGACTTTCACTGTAAAGGATTTTGACTGATTATAATTAACTAAATCCACTCGAGTTATGCCCCAAAAGGGTCCTCTCCACACATCTGGAAAAGGCGGGTCTGTTTAATCCACAACGCTTAGCGGCAGCGACAATTATGACAATATCTCGAGGACGCCCTTTCATCAGAACGACATCCACTTGAAAGCCTGCGGATTTGACGCTGTGCGGAGCGGGTAATCCTGACTTTGCCCTCCCCCCGCTACTTCAGACTGCTAATCTCTGCGTGCGAGGGCCGGGAAACTCCTATTCCCACACACGGCTGCAACAGAACGGACTTGGTGTCAGCCTCCACCAGTACTCTACAAGTAGTCTCCACCAGACTCCATTGCAGGTGGAATGAATAGCAGAAGATCGCTCCATGCAGGCCTCTATGGCCGGCTAACTCCCCTGGCCAGCTACATTCCTTTTTAGGCTAATTTGTACTATCTATTCAGCGTGCAAAGGAGTCTGGTGGAGACTATTCTCCAAGCAAAGGTTTACACTTCGGCATATTCTCTCTCTCTCTCTCTCTCTCTCTCTAATCGGCTTAAATGTTACTCTTTTTCGGCCGGCGTTAGTCTGACGGAAACTATGGACTTGGCCCGGTGGTCTTGGTCGTACAATTATCTCAGCAGTTCTAGAATTACAGGATAATTTTGAACATCTGTCGTACGTTATTGAAAGAAAAATCACAGTGGAAAGCAACTATGGAATCGTGTTTACCAAATAAGCTTCATGAGGACACAATCCATGATGAACACTCAACAGGTTTTAGTAGTTGTTGCTTTTTCATTATGAGCCTCTACCAGGCTTCAGAGGCGGCTGGAAAGAGAAAGAGCAGAAATAGACCAGGAAAGTTGGTCCGCTAAAGGAGTACAGTTTGCCGCCCTGTTATCTGTGTGTTTGACCAATTTCTACTCTTTCGAAGCCTATGAAGCCTGGTAGAGGCTAATTTATTTGGCAATAACTACTCTTTCCAGTCGCCTCTGAAGTGCGGTACAAGTTTCTAGTTTTGGGCTGGTATTCGTATACACTTGGGTCAATCCAGAAAGGCCCAGACGACTTGGCCCAGACGACTTTCCTTGGCCAGACTAATTACCGCATTATCACTCTCTCTGTCAGAAAATCTCATTTCACAAACAATTTCCTCCCCAGCAAAATAACACCGCTAAACGGTCTGGCTAATGTAGCGAATGATCTTGTTTGTAGAATACACGTGTTAGGACAACTTTGCCACCACGGGACGGCTTAAAATCCCCTTAAACACACGCCTGGCGTAAAATTGCGACAACCGTTCACCAATATGTTACAAACGATTACACGATTTCATGCCATGTCGTTAAACTGTTTCTGAAACAAGTGGGGTCTAATTTTGATTAAATGATAAGAGACTTGGATAAATCGTGTTAAGTTTGTCCGTGAGCTTATGGGGATGGATTAGTTAATCCGGAAATGAGGACATGCATGTAACATCTTAATCACAATGTACCAAGATGTTTTGTCTTTCCCCGGAGAAAGATTTAAATGGTAATTTAATGAGTTGTCTATGAAGACAATCTTGAATATTATTTATCGTGTTCTACGTGAAATACAAAGCAGAATGTACATGTATGTTGCATTCCATCCTTAGGAACATAGCCAGAAGGTACCTTGCATTTGCTCGCGAATGCTGGCTCTATGTATTGAGATGCCCAGTTCCTCTGTTTTATTGTAGTACTCGTCCATTGTACAACAGTTAGGTGACTTAGTTCATTTTTCCGATAGTACTCTTTTGTTTACTAAGTTACGCTGTCACGCCAAAATTCATCCCGAAATTCGGCACCGGAGTCTGAAAAAATTTGATAACTTTTTTGGCACAACCAGGTAGCTCCGTACAGCGTCTATAGCTAGTCCACGCTGTTTGGAAACGAATCACCGAATGACAGACCAAAAATAGATGTCCCTGACCACTTGTCTGGGCCAGAGAAAAGCTGAATTGTCAACTCTCGGGTATATTTGAAGACCACCGAACAAGTTAGCTTGGGAATTAAACACATCTGCAAATAAAGTGCCTACAAAAGAGGCCAAGGTCACTGCAGAAGTTTACAAACATAAAGAACCGCTCAAGGTCAACTTGTCTATTGTAGATAAAGCCGAGTTACGCGTGTTCGGCTTTGTTCGGTACCGCCGAGTGATGGCGAGTCGTTCCGAACTGTGCCGACGACCTACGAGTCTACGACAATAGGTAATCTTTTTTGCCAATATAAAGACTGGATCATTTCTGACGATAGACACTGAGAAGAGGGCTTATATCTGTACGTGTACATCTGCTTGAAGATTATACTGACAACTGCCCGAATCTTAAGGAAAACTAGCCTCTACCGGGCTTCAGAAGCCGCTGGAGAGAGTAGCCTTTGACATACATGTAGAACATGCCAGTAGAGTTGACGTTAGTCCGCTGACGGAGTACGGTTTTGGAGCGGCAAAATGTAGTCCTTTAGCGGATTGACTGAATCCCTTTGCATGTTATCTGTCTGTCGGCCAATTTCTTATCTTTCGCCCGCTCCATGAAGCCTGGTAGAGGCTACGAACTGCAGGACGTATCACCTGCTAGAATGAAAGTAAGCCCGACATTCGGGACGTCAATTCGGTCCTCCAGCTGCCCTGAAAAATGGTGGAAAAGATTATACACGTTCCTTTAGAAAGTAGACCCGTGCCTCGGTAAACACACAATCACATTGTCCTTACGAGCAATTTCACATTTTCTTAATTTGTCCCTAGACTTGGGAAAATAAAGAGTTTAAATACTTGAGGTCGGAGAGCTGCGATTTGGGCATATAATGGCTGTTTGCGTTACATGATGTTGGGATCTAGGTGTAACGTTAAGAGATTGAAAAGAGATCTAAAAGCAAGTGTTTGCAGATGTCTCGCTATGCTATATTGTCATCATTTATGCGCTCCATGAAAATTAAGCCGATATTGCTGAAAGATACGAATCACTTTTTACGGCACAAACATTGTGTTTTACACAGTTTGATTTTAGCTACTAGTATTTCTGCCTCCAACGCTCACTGTCGTTCAGTTATTTGTAGCTTTTGGTTGTATGAATGTTAACGTTAACGTTATATGATTAATTTCAAGAAATAGGAATGGATTTTTGTCATGTCATGGGGAGGGGACTCGATAACACATGCACGTGTACAGATATAAAAGTCTTTTACTTTCAGAAATCATGGTACACACAATTGTACCGAGTCCCTGAGAGTCCCCTGTACCAAACCTTAAGAATTACTGGCGTGTCAAAAACGTCACCTTGCGTTGAAGCGCATAATAACAGAAAGAAACTGCGGCACATGCCTGCATTTGTGTAGCGTTTTGTGACGACAGTTTTCTGCTAAATCTGTGTTCCTGTCTTGTAACGATTATTGCTTAAAACGAATTTCTGACTGTACAATTCTTCCATTCGAATTATCGGAGTAACTTGAAAGCCACAGAAATTATTATTAGAAGGTATAATACATGTGCACATGGAGCTTCCGTCTCTGTCGTACCTCTTTTTATCGCAAGATGACGCTGCTGATACACCGAATTTGCCTTAGTAGTACGCAAAAAGATATCAGCAAAATAAGTTCACATTCCTTTTGAATGGCGTTTCCGATGTTTTTCTATGACAGAAATCATTTATTGGTGTGCACAGTTTGCATTACATGTACTTTCCAGTTTCTGTTCAGTTCTGTCCAGTTTCATTGAAAACTCTTAGGGACACACCAATAACTATTGTAGGTGTATGGTTTCAAAATAATTTTGCCATAGATCTAAGTTGGAAACACAATTGGCAAATGGTATTTATTCATTATGATAGAACTATGATTTGAAGTATCTTTTGGGTGATAAACATTTTTTAATTTCTTCACAAGTGCTAATTTACTCGGATCATTTACCTCGTCACCCCTGCAGTTGTATTGGTGCGTCCCGAACGAAAATCACAGAGAATCCAACATGGCTGCCGACAGTCGTCAGAAAGTGTGTCTCGCACTTCTTTTGACGATTTTCCTGCTTCCCGTGGCCTCTTCCTGGGACACCAAGGAACTGGAACTCTTCGACTTGGTAGAGGAGGTCAACCAGAACTTCTATGAAGTTTTAGGACTAGATCAGGTGAGAAAAACCTTCGGTTCTGACAAAAAAACTGCCTAGCATATGTGTAAGTAAGGAACCTAATTTTCTTACCGGTGTGTTGCTTGGTTCCGGAATGCAGACAAATCATTGGCAGTCAAGGCGTTTCTTTTGATGTACGTTTATTAAATTGTAATATGTATCACCCGAAAGGGCAGGTTTTCTCATTGTTTTGCCTTGATGTATAGCAACAAGTAATTCAAAGACGCCAAGTCAATTTTCCTTCACACGGTTCACACGTCTTATTTCCATACGCCACGTCACACACGTGTCTTTAAGAGTGAGATTTCTTGCCTTTCATATTTGGTGGTAAAGGATTGAAGGAAGTCAGTTAAAGAAAGTATGTTGAAGAAACATAACTTTAATATTTTCTTGCTTAGAAATTGTAGTATAATTGAAGTATAAATTTCATTTATATGATACATGAACATATCACATGGCACTGAGATGGCAGACTTCACCCATTTACCCATACTGCTTTGCGACTCCATCCAGGCCCACAAAACTAGCAACGCCAAGGATGTACGGCAATGTCATGTAATGCATTTGTGTATGTTGGGCTACCCAGCATTCCAGAAACACACCAAGTGCATATGGGGGACATGGCAAATTTACAGTAAGCTGTGTCAAAATTCCCTCAGCTAACATCACTTTGTCATTGAGTTACATGTAAGAGACATCTGACTTTTTCATCAGTTTGTTCACAGATTTCAGAGGTTCTGGAAAGTGTTTTGGTTTTCGTGACTGTACTGGAACTGTGGAGGGGGTTGTTTGCTGTAATTTTTAAATTAAATGTAATACCTGATTAAAATCAGATATTACATCACATTCTGAATTCCTCCACATACTGCCCACTTACTGTGCAAGCTGGGTTACCTTCAGTCTTGACGTTCCTATCAATCAACTACTGTCAGATTCACCTTCCTCCCAAAATAAATCAATGCAACTGTTGCTACCTGGACATGAAACACACTCACAAGTCAGAACACAGCCTTTGCTTGGAACATAGCCTTTGTGCTGTAAACAGACCAAAAACAAATATTACTAGTCCCTCTATTTTTCATGGGGGTAATAGGGGACTAAAGTCACAAGTACATTCTCTTTAGTGTAATGAATAAATAGCATAGGTGCCATTATGACATTTGTTTCCTCCAGTCTGCGTCCATGTCGGACATCCGGAGGTCGTACCGCAAGTTGGCACTACAGATGCACCCCGACAAGGTCAAAGGTGAAGGGTCAGCAGAGGATGCAGAGGAGCAGTTCAGAAAGGTCAGGGGCTCTTTGTAGTACAAAATGGGCAGAGTAGATTTCCCATACAAATAAGTGCTTTGTGTTGGAACTAAACTTAAAACTCTAGCTAAAGACTAAATGTTGTGTATGAAGTAAAAGTTAGTGAAGTTACTGAATTGTGAAAATTTTGGAAAACATTAGTAACATTTTGTAAACCTGTTTCAGTTTCTATAGAAAATGACACATGTTTTGTAATGCAACTTGTTGTAATCAGTTTGTGGGAAACATATTTTACATATATACATGTATGAAGCTCACATGGAACGCTGCATTTTACAGCTTGTTGCAGTTTCAGAGGTTCTCAGAGATGAAAACATGAGAAAAAAGTGAGTATTATAAATACGTTATAGTCTACCTGGATGTCTAGTAATAGTCATGAAGCCAACCACCTGGCCATAACAACCACTGGTCCTAAAATATTTTCCATTGGTGCATTAAGCAACCTGCCCAAGATGACCACCTATCGAAAAACCTAACCACATTACCTTCCCTGGCTCCCTGTGTGGCCTTCTTGTTCAGGTTTGTCTGGTTTTACCTAATTCAGAGTACTTTATTCTTTATTAATTAATCTTTTTAATTTTATCTTTAATCTAATCTAATCTAATTTAATCTTTTTAATTTTATTAATTATTCTTTATTAATTAATCTACACATTAATTTCTGCCATAGATACGATGAGATTCTGGTGACCGGTCTGCCTGACTGGCGTACGCCGGTGTATTACTACCGGCGCGTGCGGAAACTGTCGCTGGTGGAGATGTCTGTCTTCCTGTTTGTCATCCTCACCATCGGGCACTACCTGGTCGCCTGGTCCATCTACTTCGAGAGGAGATTTGAGCTGGTCAGTGGGGCAGTCAAGCTTAGATGTTAGGCTGTTGTTTGTATGTTTGTTTGCATAACTTGTAAACCTATCTCATAACACACCAGGTCTTACAGTAAGTACAAGCTGTGTAAGACTAGACTGCTAATTACCATAAATGTGGTGGGGTCTTTAACATGCTTGACGTGTGGCTCTCTTCAAACATGGAACCTACAGCTTTACATCCAAGGAGAGGACGCTCCTAGCCAAGGGAAGATGCCCATTTTACATGGAGTCAAGTAAGAAAATGGGTGTAAAATGGCTTTTCCAAGGGCACAGAGATTTGAACCCAAAACCTTTAGATTCAATGTCAATAACCCTAATGGTAACCACATGGCCACCATGCCATATCACCATAAAATGTTCTGAAAAAACTCATTACAGATTTTGATTTTCCCACTAGATGGAGATTGCCCCTAAGCGCAGAAAGAAGAACAAGAAGGGAAAGAAGGAGGCAGAGACAGAAGATTCCCTCCTGGAGTCCATGCCAGAAGAGTTACAGAACAAGCTGAAGAAGCCAGAGTTCCGGGACTTGCTGCCCATAGCCCTGGGTCGGGGTGTGTACTGGCTTGTGTTTGCCATACCTGAGATGTACAGGTCTGCACAGGAGGCACGACTGGAGGAACAGAAGAGGAAAGAAGAGGAGGAGAGAATACTGAGAGAAGAAGAGGAAGAACGAAAGAAGCCAAGTAGGTTGAATGATGTATGCTACTGAGTTTTTCCTTCAATGTTTCACTGTAATGATACATTAATTGTTCATCTAGCATTTTGAAAATTTTGGAGCTTGCAACAAAGATTTCTCCCTTCTAACATCTTGACAGCAGAAATATAACTGCATTGTATATACTAGAATTAGGAATCACAGAAACACAAGAAAACAAACACACACAGAACAGACCAACCAAAAACAGTTTGGAGCCAAAGATTTGTACTGATTTTGAAGATCCTTTTAATTGAGCAATGTACAATTTACTAATTTTCACAGAGGAGCCCAAAGTGCGGAGGAGGCCGAAGCCAGACCTCCCTCAGTACGACATGTCTGGTGGAGACACAGAGATCCTGTGGGACAGTGCCCCCACCATCAGTATCGACTCCATCGAGGCTGATCTAGACTCTTACCTTGACGATGAGCCTGTGGTCAAGAAAAAGGTGAGAGTTCTGAGGATGGCAGACCCATTCTTGTACAAGCCTTAGTGCCCTCTAGCAGAACATGTACAAGCTGCACCACAGAAATACACAGACAGACATATACATTACTTGTACGTTTGCTACCTTTGCCAGCAATGTTGAAAAACAAAGAGGGAAAATGACTTGCAGCTCCTTGTAAACTGTACTTATAAACTCTCATATCCATCTGCAATTTTTTGCCAACACTCCACTAAAGAGGTAATACTATGTGCTAATTGTTGTATCCAGAAACGGTTCTAGATAGTCCGTGCCTAACCAGAACTGTGCCTGGAGCAGATTTAAGTTCTAGGATATGTGTAGACTATCCAGACCATATCTGATCCTAACCCATTCACTGATTCAGGCATAGAACTGCATAGGCACAGTTCTGGATACTGAATTTCAGACATTTGTCCTGTACAGAACCTAGAATGGACTGAGGATGAGCTGTCCCAGCTGGCGAAGAGCATGGCAAAGTTTCCTGGGGGAACCTCGGGGCGCTGGGAGAAGATCGCCGCGGAGGTCGGCAGGCCTGTGTCAGAGGTCACCACTCAGGCTGCCAAGGTCAAGTCCAACAAGTTCACCGTGGTTCAGGGGAAAATTGCTCCGGGTAAGTGGAAAGATGTTTTCTTCTGTTTGTAATGATCTTACAATGCAAGAATATGAATATGTTTCCTAAGGAATGATTTGTTTTCACCTTTCCTGTTTGCTACTGTATCATGTCATTTTGTAGATTTTTTTTACAAACTCAAAATACCATATTTGGTATCATTTTCTCCACAACTAAGTATCACCTGATGACATGTACAATGTATATGTAGAGAAACATACACTTCATGTTTGCACTGGGTTCATTTTCACAGCTTTTGTGCACTACAGAATTATCTTAAATGCTATATAAGAATATGCAGTTGTATTTGTGTATTGCAATTGTGATATCAATCATCTTTCAGGTTATGTAGTGTTACTGGTAACATTTTTGTTGATGAGATGTCTGAAATTGTCATCAGTTGTGAACACTATGCATTATATACATCCCAGAGATTTGAAATCTCACATTTCTTGTTTTTTTCCAGGTTCTGTTCCAAACGTGACAAAAACAAACATTGGCAAGAAGGGGAAGGGCATTTCTGATGACATCATCTCCACCAGGGACACAGAAACTGATGACATCAACGCTTTCATGATGGGCGACGGTTTGAGCCAGGGCCGCGGCCGCAAATCCAAGAAGGCCGACAGCGACGTGGCGAAAACGGACAGTAAGAAGAAATCCAAGAGCGATAAAAACGTGGATAGAACTGCTCTGATGCCAGGAGCACCAAAAGTGAAAGGACAAGACAGCAGTAAAGAAAGAGCCGCAGTGGAAAACAAAAGTACCAGCGAGGCCAAGTCTATACTGGGTAAGTGGAGGATAGTGTCAGTTTTTGAACAGTCCACAGAAGGGTGTTTTTTTTTAGATCATTTGTCAATGATTTGTACATAATGAGAAAATTTTGATAGAATTACATTTGTGCGATATGTATTTTGTAAATTAATTCTAGAATCGCTATCCCCATGTAGACTCTACACTTGCATTCCCTATGCATATTTCAAGGGACAGGTAGATATCAGAAATACCTGCACCCAGTACATGGACCAGTGCAGGTTAGGTACATGTAGACATCAGGAATACCTGCACAGCTCCAATTTTACCTGAACTAACCTGCATATACCCAGTACATGGACCAGTACAGGTTAGGTGCAGGTAGACATCAGAAATACCTGCACAGCTCCGATTTTACCTGCACTAACCTGCATATACCCAGTACATGGACCAGTGCAGGTTAGGTGCAGGTAGACATCAGAAATATCTGTACAGCTCCAATTTTACCTGCACTAACCTGCATAATATGCAGGTGATATTTTGAGCCCTGATATTTATTGACTAAATGGTAACCATGATTTACATGTATGTACCCCCCTCCCCACACCCCCATACAGAAGCCAGTGCACACATGGACAGTGGTGCCTGGTCCCAGAAACAACAGAAGCTTCTGGAGACAGCGATAGCGCAGCACCCCAAGGGCACAGCAGAACGGTGGGAGAAAATTGCCGAGATGGTGCCTGGCAAGGGAAAGGTGGGGTGGTCACACTTTTGTAAAATGCCATGGAAAAATCTTTTGTTAAATGGTTTATATGTACTGCTATAGTACTGGTAGTAGTGGTACTATTCTGCTGTTCTGCTACTGTAATGATACTGTACTACTCTGTATACTCTTACTGCATGCTACTGTACTGTTACTGTACTGTACTGATTAGAGCTTCTTGAAGAGTCTTTAGGTCTAAATTTCTGTACTCTTAAGAATCTGTTGTTGTTATTTTCTTTTCCATGTTGAAAATCTCAGCACTGTAAAGTTTAACAACTCAAAATAACCTTTCCAACTGGCTCTTTTTTCCCTGTAGGAAGACTGCATGTTAAGATACAAGGAGCTTGTGGAGAGAGTGAGGAAGAAGAAACAAACTGCTGACAAAGATGCAGTAGAAAGCTAACCTCTGGAAAGAAGTTGTATAATAACTGTTTACATGTTGAATATGTGCTGCAAGTAAGCAAAACAGCCAGTTGAGCTGTTAGATGTTTGGTCATCAAACTGTCAGTAAGGATTACCCTTTTCTTCTTATTTTAATAAAAGTTGGATGGATTGTAGGCAGTTTTTAGGTTACTTGCAATGTAATACTCTTGACTCCAAGAAAGCTGCAGCTGTATCTGAAATATGGCAGAGGAAATGTATTGGTTCTCTGTAGTTATCAGTCAGGTCTGCAAACCAGAACCAAGCCAATGCCAGATACTATAAATGCATTTTCTTTTATGTTGCAATAGGAGTGAAAAAGAGTTTTTTGCAGCGTTTCAGAATCGTGGTTGTAACAATTCTGCAGTACAATATAGAATTACACAACACTTATTCATGTTATTATGATTTCATCGCAGATCACCACAAAAACTACGAAGATAAAACCACTGCAAACATGTAAGGTTTTGCAATATTTCTCAGAGTATACTACACATTTGTCTAAAATTCTGCCCTTTTTTAAAGTTCTTAACTGCGAAAAATACTTAATGTGTAACAAACAGTGCCATAAGTTATAAGTGAAAACTGGCGCATTTTCAATGGATTCTAGAATCTGAAAAATAGTGCATACTAGCAGTTAGCTGCTAGCAGTAGTATTTATTGTTACCAACAGGAGTTTTAGTACATTACCATGCCTGCAATATGCAGTTTTGTTTTTACCTCAACCCATTGTTAATGTACTGAATGTTTAACAATGTTGCCAATGTTTTTAAGGACCTTTTTTTTACAAGTTCATTTTTTTTTCATTGTACTTCCATTGTTCGTGTCATATAATAATCAATTTTTGTCAACTTTCATAATTCCACGGGTTACCCTAAGCCCACCTCATTAAAAGAACTTGAATTCATCTTCATCTTTGCCGGGGCTCAAAGATGTTATGTGAGCCCCGGCTACACCCCCATATAGCCCCTGATGGGGCACTTTAGGGGGGGGGGAGGCCTTGGTCTAAGGCGGGCAGGCCTCCAGCCTGGTCCGGAAGGACTCAACGGTGGGAGCCATAACTACTGGGCCAGGCAAGGCGTTCCATTGGGGGATTGTGCGAGGGAAGAAGGAATTCAAAGGGGTTTACTACTGCAGACCAGTAATCCCAGACTGTGAAATGCACATGACTGGGTATCAGTGAGCCTTAAGCTGAATAAGGAAGGCAAGAAAAAATTTCACTCAAACAGACAATACAGAATCTACATTTGCCATAGAGATGTTAACTAATAAAAAATATGCTCCTTGTATTCTTGTCGTTTAGTTTATACAGTTGGTGAAAAATGTAGTAGTCCTTTGTCACTAAAAGATGTAATATCAGTTGTAATGGACAAAACCTATCAGTTTCAAATCCACCTTTTACAATGTTCCTATTGTATGTACAACAAGGCTGGTGTATTTCAGGTAAAAACGTTTGGTCTATAACATTTGCAGTGGCTTTCTGCAGTGCCGTTGTTGCCCGTCGCGGGGCGCTACTACACATGTCACCACTGTGCCTATGGGCTTTCCTGGTTCACTGCTTGTGACTGCCATGGTTAGCTGGGCCCAGACTAAATCGGAACAGCTTGTCTTTACACACCTTCAGTTATACCCAATAATTCTTCTAGACGTTTGCGAACCAAGGGAATAATTTTAACGTTCTTTTGATAAAAAGATTAATTAACAGCAAACCGCGTCACGAAGCTCACAACAAAAATAATGACATCATGGAGCACAAACCATGACATCACAGTCCCCGGTCCAGGCGTGACGCGGAGGTCAAGGTCAGCCCAGAGGGATGACAGAGAACTCGGTGGGGATCGTTCAGAAAGTTCCATATTTTTCCCCTCCAAGTTTATCCTGAACAAGCAGAGGTTTAGGTTTCGGCTTGCTTATTTTGCACGGTATTTTAAGCGTTTTTATCGGGCTTTCATTTTGTACTGGAGTCTTTTGTACTGGAATTTTTTTCTCAGTCTGTCGGCAGAGCTTCGGGTGGCGTATTGGATAATGTCTACTAATACTGGCTACTGATACTGTCTTGCCAATTTGATCCATTCTTGCTAGCATCCTTCGCTAGTATTCGGTGATTGACGTGAGTTTTGCCGCAGAGTATACTCCCTAAAGATCTAACCAAGAAGCATATTTCATGGTTCCGAGTCAGTAAATCATCAGTTATCTGTATAAGATACAAAATTGCAGTGTTGAAAATTCTTTTCATTTCTTTTGTTCTGCAAAACATCTATGGATATTAATGACAGAAACGTCAAGTTACATCATAACGTTGCCCTATTGCAAGACAGGTTTGTAGATGAACTTTTCAAACAAACAAAAAAGAAAAGAAAAACCTGCATGGCTTCGTGGGAAAAGAAACCCTTCTGCGAAGTACGGCACAAAACCACTGACTACGGAACCGAAGGAAGATCCTTCTTCCGAGACCTTCCTATTGTCGTCCCTGTCCGCTGTTTATCATTCGTGTAAGGTTGTATTACACGGTGTGTCGTCTTCACTTGACAGCCTGTGGAAGAAAACACTAACGCATCTTGGTGCGTTAGTTTTTCTCTGAGATATCTCGGAGAAAAAGGGCGAAATGTAGCGATTTTAAGATAGTTATAGAGACGGACAGCAGATTGGAAAAGACAGGTACACACACACCGCCCCTTGCACCGCCCCCATGCTATCTTGTGCACCACACTTCGCACCTGATTGTGACTTATTGTAAACTGCCGATTCAACAAGTACGCGATAATGTCCGGGTTTGAAGGGAAAGGCGTGAAATCCCGGAGAGAGAAGCCGTCACGACAGTTAGCCTGGGTGTGAAGACTTCACGGGAGAGAACCGTGGGAAAAACTCAGGTTAGTTTACGTTTGGAGTTTTTGGGAAGACATTTTTAAAACGCCAAGCCGGCCGCTGGTTTGTTGGCTGTCTGTTATAGACATACTGTAGACAAATTTATATTTCTCACCCGCTGTACTAGCCTACCCGCAAAAAATCTGTTCCGTCATTTCCATAAATGTATGACTTGAAAGCGAGGAAAATTCTTTAATCAACTTTGTACACGTTCTGTTATGACCTGTACCTGTTCTTCTACAAAAGCTATAGCTCTTCAAAGTCAATGAGCGATGGATTATGTTCAAAAACGCACTATACATTATATGTTATTTTATCTCAAAATGTTATGTTGGAGTGCGTTTGTCACAAACGGGAGAGTTAGATGCCGGTTGTATGTGTCACTGTAAATATTAATCTCGCTTTCCTAATAATATCCTTTGGAGATCCTATAATTGTCACTTATAAACAATCTTCAATGCTTTGTGTTTTACACAATTTTTAACATCCGTTGGCTGAAAACGACAGCAACATTTTGATTTTTCTACTAGTATGGCATGATAAGGTAAGCACGTTTTGATGCTGTGGTAACTTGGGATAACTTTTCCCCATGGATATAACTAGAATACTGTGGCCAAACTCCCCTGGCAAATTATCCTGCCTCAGCCGTCCTTGTTAGTCTGGTGGAGACTAGAAATACCCGGCGGTATTTTCCACTAAATAAGTCGGAAGTACGTCGGATAAAAGGCTTGGCTGGGGTTGAATCCTATCTGGGTCAGTTGAATAATTCATCAAGACCGAGGAACAACACAGAAAACCCCAGAAAGATTATAATATTGACTTTTGAGACCACGAACAACTTATTTTCAGAACACGAAGCGTCTGCACCGAATTCCTCAGTTATAAAAATAATTAAACCCACCTCCAATATGATTGTGTTCTTATTCTACTTTTATCAGGAGTTTTTTTTTTTTGTAGCCGGTCTTACTTAACTCTACACTCCACAAATCAGGGCTAATATCTTGGTTGTTCTTCAATTTCTACACAACAAAGTTTGATATAGTCCAGAGGTTATTAGCTTATCTTCAATATTAACTTACTTTTTCAATATTCTTTTGAATCTTGTGTTAAATGAATCTCTTGTGTATAGGGAATATTTGGCCCCGATATAGTTTTGTAATAACCGCGTTTGAGTAGCTAAAAAATTTAGTAACATATCAGTGTTTGCGTTACATAAAAGTCAGTTTACGCCACATGTACAATATTTGGAAACATAACAATACTTGAAAAATAGTTGAATACGGACAAGTTTGAAAACAGATCATTGAATCGGAATGGAGAAAAGTGGTAAATGTAATACAGTAATGATAGTATCTAAATACACACTTCAAACTTGAAAAATAAATATAATTCCTTCTTATGAATATGGTATAGTCGACATTTCTTTTTTTAAGAATAACAGGGAATCCAAATATGGGTCCATTGAAACAGTATGAAACTTTCTGAGGAATACAACTGGTTTTCAAACAATTCTCATTGTGTTTCCAATACAATAGATTTTCTGAAAATGCCAATTCTTTATTTGGTAAGCTGGCCACAAATACTGCATTTCTTTCAAAGGAACGGAAAATGAAGACACTGTAAAAAGGTCGACAAATTTGAATCTTTAGGTCTATGATGACGGACGAAAACAACATTTATAGTCTATGTTTTAACAGGCAAATAAATAGACCAAGGACGTTTTATCAAGACGTCCTTGAATAGACCAGAACAATACCTCTTACTGGTATACCCTCTGTTTTCATCAGGTAACACCCTAAAAGGAATCAAATACATGCGTTCAGTTTCTGGCTTCTTTGCGATGTTAAAGACATGTACATGTAGGATGATATGGTTTCGTTTAAAATAGGTTGGGCAAAATGCATATCGCATTAGAAAAATTCATTTTTCAGTCATGCATTTAAAACAGGCGAAATCAATAATAATGACAACTGTCGTTTTTTCCTGCCATTTCGTGAATTAAAATGCAGATGAAGCCACGAGTTTGTGTGCGGCTTGTAAACTGAGCACAAACTAGAGGAGTTCCTGACAGAAAATCATAGCCTCTTCCAGGCTTTTCTAAGGCGGGTTAGGATGGTAGAATTCGGCAAAAAGTAGGGTCTCGACTGACCAGGAGTGAGTCTACCATTCGGTTTCCGTGCAGAACTGCGCGAGCAAAGGAACTTTTTGGTGGCTAAACTCCCCTGGCCAATTATTTTCCCTACTTGACTAAATTTTTCTTGAACCCGCGTTGTTAGTCTGGTCACTAGGAAAACACCCGTTGTTGTTGTTTTTGTTGTTTGTCCGAGGAAAAAACATCCCTCACGAGTAAACAACGTCCCATGGGTCACATGTATAAACACCACAGCTGTGACCTCGCAAAGCTCTGACCTCAAACGACCTGCTCAAACCCAGTAAGCCTAAAATCCCGCTCCTTTTTAGACCAAACTTCTGGCTTCCTAAGGGGTTATGGAGAAAAGAATTGGGAAAAAATAGGGTGAATAATTAGCCATGGGAGTGACCCGCGGTAAGGATAACATTTCCATAAATACCCTGACAAATGCTTAGTATGTGGTGGCCTAAAAAATTATTATCCTTACTATTGGGCTAAATTTTACTGTTTTTCAGCTAGCATTGTTATTCTGATAACTATGAAACATCTTTGTTACAAGGCTATATCTATGACTATCAAACAATGTCATACTCATAGTAACTAAGTCAACAATGATACTGACTAGAAATAAATAACAGGATGCTGTCTTTAGCCATTAAGGCAGTGTGCTTCCAAGTTTTGTTTTTTCTTCTTCCACTTCTTCTTCTAGAAAAAGACTAAAAAAAGTTGTTATTTAGACAGGGAGGGTTTTTGCTCTGACATAGACAATTTCAGGATGGTGGAAAACGTATGTTTAGGGAGGTCATCAGAAATTTCATTTCATGAAATGTGTCTAGAGACAAGACCTGTGATGGTTCTGTAGCTATTGACATATATGTGAAAGAAGGTATGCTAAAGAATACTAGTAGTATTTGTCTATAAGACCATAACTTGAAAAAAATGTGTGTTTCATAGATACCGTCGAATTAACGGAGGAAATGGCCTTTTTTTAAAAACATAATAGTATCTTTGTTTCAAAGAAATGTTTGACACAACCTATAACTCACTGACTGTTAGGTAACATTGGAAAACATTACAAAATATCATATTCCACCACAGCTGTATACATATATAAAACAATAAAAAAAATCTAGCTAGGTCTCAAGTCCATATCGTTTATACATGTTTATATCCAAAAATCCCTAGCCTCTACCAGGCTTCAGAAGAATCTGGAAAAGTAGAAATTGGCCAAATAGTATTAATACACAGATAACATGTCAAACGAGTTGGTAAAGAGAACAGTTGTCCAACTCCCCTGGCATGTTATCCATTTGGAAAATTTATATTTTTTCTAGTCGCTTCTGAAGCCTGGTAGAGGCTAGCAAATCCTGAATATTATAAGTACGGTATTCCACTGGTGAGCGTACATACATAGCTGGACACGTATTCGCGCCTCGCGGTGTACCAAAGTCGAATACCGTGGTACAATGCTGGATCTTCGGTCATGGTCCCCTAAAACCACATATAAGGTACATATTACCACATCATACAGCAAACCTGTCCATGGAAGATCAGAAGATATAGCACTCTTTTTCTAACTTCTGGTCGGTATTTACTTGTGTAGCCGGCCGCGCAGGGCATTGGGAGATTGAAATACTGTACAGTACGCAAGCCGGAAACGCGCTACCATATCAAGATTAGATCGCAAAAATCGGAAAAAGAGTCACTTTCAACTGTATAAAACACATTGGGCTTGAGCTACATACTTTTGGTCAACTGTAGCCCTACCTTCTAACATCAGTCACGTATATAACAGCACAGCAAGATCATTTTAAACGTTGTAATCGAGCTAGGGACTGTCCGGGTGTCGGTCTGCGCTAAAAAAAGCTTATCATTCATTGATTCTCTGTGAATGTTTCGTCCATTTTGTTTGCCTCGCGGGTTGGGTAGAGCATTATTCTGATGTTGTGAAAACCATGTTGTCTGTAGACTTTATATTTTATGTTTACATGCAAACTGTACCGATTACAGACAAAACAGTACGTTCCAAGCAATCTGATGTCTAAAATCGTGGGCACGCAACGCCGCGGCAGCTTCGCTACACACAAAACAACCCTGTACCTTTTCCATTCTGGCTTCTATGTTAAGCATATACTTGTTGTATAATCAAGGAGCTTTCATCACAATAATCTACAAAAATTCTCCTTATGTCCGTTTAAACCCTGCACATAATACAATGGCCATTAGAGGCGCTAATCTACGAAGAATTAATTCCGATCAGCGAGTGTCAAAAGCAATTCGCAGCGCGCTGCTTTCGGCCTGTCGTGTGTGGTGGAAATAATAGATATGCCCTGGGCTCTCAGGGGACGGAAAAACTGGGTCATGGAAAAATCACATCGGCTTTTACAGCATTCCATGCACATATTCATAATAAAATACAAACTGGCCAATTTTCTGCTAGAATTTCTTGAATATTTTACTAGGAAAAAAAAAAACACGTAGTCTTGGTATTAAAAAGATACTGTCGAACCAACCAGGCCTGAAACCAACAATGCTTTTTTAAGGCACTGCATTGCTTGCTTCTAGAAACCCAGGACTGATGCGATTTTCCACTAATTCCGTATCACGGAAAATACGACAAGTTGCCTATAAGCAATGTTTTGGGTAGTCTCGAATATCAACAGTGGACTTAAATGGACTGGAAGTGTTTCAGAATTAAAGGAGAGGTAAGAACTAAAACACTGTTGCTAAAAAATGTTACACATGCATTTCTTTCTGTCATTATACATTAGGTAGTAGCTAAAATGCTGGTGTTGCAAGGCATGGAATAACACAGTTCTAGCAATGCACACGTTTCATGTGTTTGTATGTGGTGTGGCTAAATATTAATTAAGCTGAGAGATTTCTACTTGGACCAAAATCACATTGAAAGCTGTCTACCCCACAGTCAGGGTTCAAAATATAACACAGTGTGGGCACTACAATATTTAATTGTACATTTTTTTAATTTCCAGTTTTAACAAATACATGTACACATTCTTTCACAACAAAAACAGTGTATCAAAACCAGATTATAAAGATACAAGATTTAGTTGAGGGATTATCTATGATTAAAACATCAGTGGCTGCAGGGAAAGCACCCTTCTGATTCCTGGTAGCTTTTGTGCTCCAAGCATGAAAAGCAGTATGCAAAACAGGCTATTCAGGACTGGGGTGTGTGTTATGTCTAATTCATCAGCCCCTGACAGGGGAACAAACACTGCTGTCATTTCTTGTGGACTCCCTTTTCCACGCAGGTCCACAACAAAAACAACGTCTTGGGACCTTCTCCGGTATTCTGGCAAGCTTTCCTGCGAAAATG